CCTCTGTTACGCTTACCTGAAAATTGTAGATGTAACGGAATGAGACTACCGTCTCAGTAACGAAAACTCCTACCTACCTCACCTACCAGCACCCCTAAGAGGCTCCAAGTGGGACTAACAATTAATATAATCATTAAATATGTTACTATCACATAACATATACCAGATATCATAAACATATAAGCTAAAAGAAAATATCAACATATGTGCTTGCTTTACTCATTATTTATTATCATTATTCATCATTCGATTCTTGCCTTATATCCTCCTTATACCTGCCGACTTGAACCCATGGGCTAAGTCTTAATCATGTGACTGATGACTCTCACGAGCTTCCCACGCGTGTGATGCGGACCGGCCAAAGTCGGCAGAGCACACGTGGGCCATGGGTTCCTCCAGAAAAGGGGGATTCTGCCCCGATGGGTTTACTGCCCAGTATCCTGATGGGGATGCTGCCCTCGGGGGATACTGCCCCAGGATACTCCTGGAGTGTCGCAAATGAGGGGATACTGCCCTCTCTAATAGGCCAACCATAGTGCGCGCTATAGAGGCGAACCATGTGGTAATAAATGTATATCAGGCTTTATCACCACACCTCTTCCCGAATATTAAACGAATTAATCACAGTCATGATAGTTCTAAATTCTCATCAGGTATCTCCAGAACATGTATCTTAGGATATTCAAGACATACATTAACCATATAAGATACTTAATATCATACCATACAATAGCATTCTTAGATAATCAAGGGTATAAACATATCATTCCAGAAGCTCATGCTAACATATAAAACACAATCAAATAAAATAGCAACTTGGATAAATCACCTTGGTCAACAAATAACCTTTCGCCACAACAGACTACACAGTACATCCCAAGTCCACAATTTCATCCAAAAATCACTCATCAGGCTCCTATCCAATTCTAAAGTTGTAGCAATTCATTCATTTTTCACAAATCACTCCCATCAAGCAACTTCCAAATGTCTATAAAGTTTTCTGATAGTTTCAAAACAGCTTTCCTATTCCATATTATTCAAGTCTATCCTAAAAGGGTTCAATTTAATTAAAAACTTCTCTTAGAGGAACCGATAGGAGAAAACAAGTAAGAATTCACGTTACCTGGTGCCCAACAAGTGCTTACAAGTTAAAGATTAAGACCATGAACTTGGGATTGTCAAACCAATTATCATATCTACAAACAGAAAATATACGTTACTACAGTATCTTATGGGTAAGCTACGTATCAAATTTTAACCCATAACTCCCTCTTTAAGGTTTCTGAATTGTTACTCAGAATTCTAGCTCGTACAATTTTTCTAAGATCTGGAGTAAGAACATGGATACTATGCTTTAGATTCAATTCTTAAGTTTCTTTAGCTTATATTATCTTTAAATTTCTAAATCATGTCATTATAATTTATTCATAACCCAAGTACAAAACCTTCAACTTATAGCCTATGTTCTATTTTCGAAAACTTAGGAAAACATATTTAATACAAGTTAAATTATTCTCACTACAGATGTTTAATTATTAATCTAACCGTTGAAATTAAAATATTATATGTCTTGAGTCTATTCTCCAAATTTTGGCTTCATCTAACGGTGAAAAAATTTAAAAATGATACTTTACTACTCAGTGTTCTATCCATAAAATCTGAAAATAAAGAGTTTAATGCATATCTAGTAACTCATACCTTAGATATTGAACCACTAATCCAACCGTTGAAATTGACGAAATAGATGTCTCGGACTGGAAGACCAAATTTTGGCCCGATCCAACGGTTTACGGACTTGTACATGGCACTTTACTGAGACAGTCTCAATTTTGTGAGAAAATATTTAACTTATTCTTAATTCTTCTATACTACCACCTATTTATAGGCTCATAGAATCCCATCTTCATATCATTTAGTTGATGTGAGACTTCTTAAACTTTTTTTTTATCAGTTCATATATAAATAGTTATATATAGACACACACATATAATCACAAATATTTTAATTGTTTATATATATAATTAACCACTATTAAAATGATGTCAATAAATATTTACTCACAAATTTACTTGAGTCTTAGAGACTAAAATTGGGATGTTACACTCATTTGCACTTAGACACTTGCATTTGGGATTATGAATTCTATTATGTTATTTGTAAATTGTCTAATTTTTGTTGTAAATTGCTGAATTCCACTTGTAAATCGTCAAATTTCACTTGTTTACTTATATTTGGACAATTGTGTTTGTTTTGTTATATATAGTTTTATTTACATCTTATGATTGAATGGGTTGCTTGGCTTGGTGGTTACAAGCCTTTTAGTGTGTCAAGGGGGTCATGGGTTCAAACCCTCCCTTAGGCACTTTGTTTTAAACAAAAAAAAACTCTGGCCACCGAAGGTCCGGCCAGAGCTACTGTTTCGGCCACCAGTGGCCGGACCCCAGGCAGTGGCCACCTGAGCACCGGTGGCCGAAACAGTAACTCCGATAAATATTTATTTTTTAATAAAATAAAAAGGACGGGTATTATTGTAATCTCACTCTAAATTCTAATTTCAATTTGGTCCATTGGTCCTGCAGTGAAATTTCAAAAAGTTTTGTTGACTGATATAAATTGTCTTCTGCGGTCCTTAACTGAAATTCTCCCTAAAATCAATGTCACCATCAAATTCAAAACTCAACAATTCCTCGAATGACCTGCAGATGTCATTTACGCATAACTTGTTTGACTTTGGTTAATTAGTTTAAGTCTGCGAGTTTAGTCTTGTTGGTCGATCTTGACGGACTAACTAGCAATTAGGACTATTACACTCGGATTAGTAATTATGACAGTTATCAAATTTATACATTTCATAATTAATATTTTATAGGATCAATATTATTAAAATATTTCAGTGAAAATAAATAATTCTGGACTGTCAAAATTTGGCCAAAATGCTTAATACCGGAATTATATTGGAGATAAAACAAATTGACTTAGGTCTCCCGCATACATTTAAAAGATGAAATAAAAAGAGGGTGAATAAACTTCGTTATTTGAATGATTTGGGGGAAAAAAAAAAGAGTCTTAGATCTATATCAGTTAATAGATGAATTTACAAATACACATTCGGATTCTAATAATTAACAATATCACAATAACAAGTGTCTACATGAAAATTTATAAATTTACAAGAAATTCAAAGGTACATTTATAAGTTTGTGTGTGGGTGTGGGTGTGTGTGTTTTAACAACCAACAATAACCAAAAAAAAAAAACGTGATTAGGGAACTTCACCTAAAGTTAGCTACACCTAAAGTTGACGTAAGTTTTGCCATTCAAAAAAGTGCATATCTATCCAAATTTGAAAACCAAAAGGAAAGCATTTTATTTTTGTTTTTAATTAATAACATATATTACGTACGTTGCGAGAGTAATTATTATACCAGATTTATAAAGTTTTTGTTATTGCCAGCATCTATTTATATAAAGTTCCACCACTAACGTATTCAAGAAATTTACCGTGCTTCTTAATATTTGCTGTGTCAAAACGTTAAGCCACACCCAAAATTCTTTGGAGTTGGGGGGGAGGGGTAGTTATCTTTAAGAAGGAATAAATCATCCACATTAGTGAATAATTTGTTTATATATAAATTTTATGCGGAAAGTCCACAATAAAGCCTCTTGCAGTAGAAAAATCCCAAATCGTGTCAATGGCAAAGCACCTTCTGCCACTACTGTTGGCAATTAGAGCTCTGACAAGCGACAACAATTTTATTATAAAAGTTTTATATGGAATAGCTAATAGGAACTTGTAAATTAATAAATTAGACTTGTTAATTTTTAAGATTGTGTTGTTGTAATTGAATACCAATAAAAGTTTATATATTGAAGAGCCCCATTTTAATTTATTATAAAAATTTTGTTATGAATAGCTAATGGGCGACTTGTGAAGTACTAAATTAGACTTGTTAATTTCTAAATTTATCTTGTGATTGAATAATAATAATAGATGTTTATTAGAGAATGTAACTTTATGGCAAAAATTTTGTTATGAATAGCTAATAAAACTTGTGAATTGCTAAATGATAATGTTGATGGTTTTTCACAATAAGTGCTGATTCTTACTTGTTGTTTAGAGCAGTTTAAAATAACTTTTTTGTGACCAATTGAGTCGGTTTTAGCAGAAAGTATCAATTATTCGTAGTGAACCAAGATTTAAATTCTTATTGAAAGAGTTGTCTACATTTAAAAAATATTCCTACTCATTTTTTCCTAATTTTTTTCTTCTTCATTTTCTCTTCTTCCAAACTAGGGGTTAGTGTCCATTTGTTCCCCAAACATGATTAAGGCAAAAAAAAGAACCTTTCCAAATTAAGGGAGCAACCAAAAATAAAATAAACAAAAATCCAAATGAAAGATTGACATTATTGGTAATAACCAAATAACTAATTTTGTCTATTTATATTTAGACCGCGCATAGAAAAGTCGTGTGATTATGTAGGATACTAATATTTATGCTCACTACTCCTTTTCTCTTCTGAAAGCACATCATTTCTCTATCCCTTTTCCATCTAAACTTGAACACATGATGAAGAAAACACCACTCTGGATTCTGGTTCTGCATGTGCTTGTTTCGTTCGTCATTATTGTTAGCCACTCAGCCCATGATTCAGCAGGTAACAGATTAACCACTGAACGTGCATGCTTTTCTGTTATTCCTTTTTCCTCCTAAATCTACATTGAGGAATTTTTATTTAAAACAAGGAAAATAATTAATATATTGGTTCAGGTTTCATAGGCATAGATTGTGGAGCAAGGGGAGATTACTTGGACAGTCAAACCGGGATCTGGTACCAGACAGATGAAGACTTCGTTGGCAGTGGAGAAAACCATGAAATATCAACCACCTTCGAAGACTTTCCGCACCTACGCCGACAACTAAAGACGTTAAGAATTTTTCCAGAGGGAAAAAGGAACTGTTAAGTTATGAAACCAAAACAACAACAACAACAACAGAAGATGAATCAAATGTATCTGATCAGAGCAATATTTTCATATGGGAATTATGACAACAAAAACACAGTTGCAGTCTTCGATCTCTACGTTGGGGCCAATTATTGGACAACAATTCGGCTGCCTAATGCAGCTTACTTCCAATCCGAAGAAATCATAATCCAACAGCTTCCTTCTGATCACTTGTTTCAAGTGTGTCTGGTGAATATTGGACTAGGTACTCCTTTCATTAACACTCTGAAATTAAGGCCACTTAACAACTCTCCCTATTCGGCAGCTTCACTTCCCTTGTATGCACGGTCCTGACTCAATTGTGGCTCTACGCTTGGGATCCTTTTTGCTAGGTAGGTGCTCTTTCATTTTTGTTACGCTACAATAATTAACCAGCTTTTCTCAACATTTTGTGAGACTTTATGTGAATAATATATATATATATATTTGAGCAGTCAAAGATGTACAGTAAATAAAAAGTAAAAACTACTATTATTTGAAAGTATAAAATACTATTATTTTATATGACCTTGAAAATTGATCTTTTATATACATTCGTACATGTACATATAGGTGGACTGAATGATGGAAAAGTAAAAAAATATTATTAACTCTTCATAATATCAAAGATTTCCTCACTTTTTTTTTTTTTTGGTTTGTTATCATTAGATTTTATATAAAATGGGTGACACTTTGATATCTTATAGGCAAAAAATGGTGATGTTTTAAAATTTTTTTAACGATTTTTCAGAGAAAAGATACACTAAAATTGTGTAGTTTCTTTTTAATTTAGATACAACATTTTTTAACAAAAATCATTAAAAAAAATTCGAGAAGTGGGAAAAATCAAGAGGCAGAGAAGGGCTGTTGACACCCTAAATCTCACGAAGTTTCTGCTTATGTGGAGTGAAGCTTATGAGTGGCTAAACTTTTGCTTCGATGGTTAAATATAAAACTAACCATAAACTACAATTTGTGCCAACTTTTGCGCACACAGATTTCATACACATTGACTGTGGAGAAAGTCGGGGATACATTGATCCTGAAACTGTAATCCCGTATCAGGCAGACATGGATTTCGTAGAAACAGGAAAAAATTCAATGGTGGCCCCTGATTTAAGAACTGACTTAGATCATTTTGTTTTCGGAAGACAACTGAAGACGCTGAGATTTTTCCCAGAAGGAAAAAGGAACTGCTACACCCTGAAACCAAAACTGGGCAACAATTACCTCATCAGAGCTTTCTTCGCATACGGAAATTATGATGCCCAAAATCGAAGTCATACATTTGACTTGTACCTCAATGTCGATTTTTGGGAAACTGTTCATTTTAACGATGACACTGATGGTTATGAATTTGCAGAGATTATCCATACTCCCACAACTGACACCATCCTCGTTTGCCTAGTCAACACTGGCCTAGGAATCCCTTTCATTTCTATGTTGGAACTACGACCTCTTATCAACTCTGTTTATATAATACCATCTCCTTCTCAATCACTACTAGTCCTTGATACGAGAATCGATGTTGGTTCCACCGAGTTTATTTCAGGCCTGTTTACAAGGTGACTCTAGTCTTATATTTGTTGTTGGTGTTTTGCATGCTCTCATCATCTAGGTTTCTTCAATGATATGCGTATTGATTTATCTAATACTGCAAGCATATAGGTTTAAGGATGACGTGTTTGATCGTGTGTGGCATGTGGACGATGTTTTTGAAGATCAAGGTTTGGAAAAGATCAATACGTCGCAATATATTGAAGTTGGAAGCGTAAACGATTCTTACAAATTACCAGTAGAAGTCCTCATGTGTGCGACCGCATCATTGAATCTCTCCTTTAATTTAAGCTTTGACTATGATTTTGTCTGGACGCGACCACTTGAAAAGTCTTTCAGATATTATGTCTACTTTCACTTTTTTGAAATCGAGGAGCTTCCCGCCGGGCAAAAGAGAGTAATTGATATTACTGTTAATGGTGAAAATATCAATTCAGAGCCGATAACTCTTGAATACTTAAAGCCGGTAACAGTTACGGACCTTACAGATCAAGATGGTCTTCGTTTCAACATAAGTGCAACATCAGAATCTGATGCTCCTCCAATCCTTAATGCCCTCGAAACTTATAAATTGATATCACCACTTACATCTCCAACTTACGGAACAGATGGTATTATAATTTCTCAACCAACTATTTTCCATTGTTGTTTCATGATCTGGGAGTCTGTTGGCTTTGACTTCTGATACCCTGTTTATTATTGGTAACAATATAGCGGATGCCATTCGGGACATAAAAGAGACCTACGAAATCTACAAAGTAGAGTGGCAAGGTGACCCAGGTGTTCCGAAGGAATTTGTATGGCAGGGACTAAGTTGCAGATATGACATCAATAATAACTCTAACCCCAGGATTTTCTCACTGTAAGTATCTGCTTTCACTTTTGTTGAATTACAGTAAACGTTCCTTAGAGTATCTCACTGTAATTATTAGTTCCATTCATCCCAAAATATCGGCTTGTTTGACACTTGAATGTAAAATTGACTTGAGTTAATTTGATGTTAATTACTCAAAATATAATCATCAATCATGTAAGCTATATACCACTAGAAACTTCACCCATCTCCTCTGCCTGTGTGTATATTAATCATTAATCAAAAGCAGAAACTTGAGCACCCGCAACTTAAGAGGACAAATAGCTGCTTCATTTTCACAACTTACGGAGTTGGAATCCTTGTAAGTATATAATTAATAATTTCATCAGGACAAAATCAAAACTATAATTCAGAATTTTGTCATATAAAATATTGCTTTTGGTTTAGGGATTTATCAAGAAATGGCCTGTCAGGACCGATACCGGAATTTCTTGCTAAATTGCCAAAGTTGAGAACCCTGCAAGTCTTACAAATTGCATTAATATTTTTTTTAATAACTGATATATGTGCATAACTTGATGACCCCATGCTGATTGAATGCATTTCACAATGTTTTTGCAGTAACTTGAGTGGCAACAAGCTTATAGGTTCAATTCCCAAGGCTCTTAAAGAAAATTCAGATCTGGCAATGAGGTTTCTCACCTTGAATCTGTCATAGTTGATCAGCCTTGACTGCCTTTTTTCACCTCTTGTGTTAAACTAAAATCAGTTTACATTGGCTCTTGCTTTTTTGAGGCTATTAATGGAAAAGATTTATAAAACTCAATAAATATTACAGAGTCAAATTCAATTTGTAATTTTAACTATACCCATTTGACTTATCTTTCAGTTTGGACGATAATCCTGACCTCTGTTTGAGGGATCCATGCAAGAAGAAAAAGCACAAATCCCCTATTCTATTAATTGTATCTGTTTCAGCTTTGACGGTTGTAATTCTGATTTCCCTAGGAATTTGGGTCTTCAAAATGAAAAAATCGGAAGGTACATACAAAATACTGCTTGTTTTTGTTACTCTCTCCTCACATGCAGGCTTTTCCTTAGCAAGCAAAGGATGAGATGAGAAATTATCATTAGGATGTAGGATGCACATCATAAAATTCAACCGGGCGTTGGATTCACCTAAAAAATAAAAATAGGATAGTAGATGCTCATTTATCCTTCATTATATAACATGTTTTGATAATAACTTTTTCCCTAAGAGCTTTTTTAATCTCTAACTAATAACTTTATTGAGCGTAATTTGGAGGAAGTCATATTGTTTGGGAACCAGTTTCAGTGCTCATCACTTTGAAGGGAACTTTAAACTCATTATATCTTGATCGTTTATATCTTACTTGAATAGTCCAGATTTGATTTCTTTGTCCTTTTTATTTGTTCAAAATAATTATTTCAATATGTATAGAATTTAAAATAAAGATAATTTCTTAACTATCATTTTTTCAAAAAACAGTTCTTTCTATTTAAAAATAATTAATTAAATATTTTAAATCCAGACAATTTAAATGAGATATCGACAGTCAAGATCTGATAAAACTGGGGTGCTCATCAAGATGATGAGCACTAAAACTAGTTGCTATTATTTCTTAAACCAAGTAAAAGTAATAAATCATCTACTGGCTTATTGGAATGAGTTTGGATGCTCATCATTTGGACTGTGCCATCTGGAGGTCCAAATCTGGTTTGAAAGATCCAGATTTAATTTTTTTTATTTTTTAAATAATTATTTTAATGGATATAGAATCTAAAATAAAAATAATCTATTAACTATTATTTTTTTAAAAGATGGATTTTATTTAAAAATAATCATTTAAAAACTTCAAATCTAGCCCGTATTTGATGAGTTTGGGATCAAGAGTGATGAGCATCCAAAGTCAGTTCTAATTCTAATTTATTTCCCTCATATCAAGTGACCCTAATTAAGATGTTACTGTTACCATGAATTTCAATATGTACCTTTTATATTCTCCTTTTCCTTTTGCGTGAGAATAATTGTCTGTTATTAGTCATAACCCATTTGAAATGGCAGAAAAAATATCCTAGTGCTATTGTCCACGTTTTTAATTCTCCTAACATACCTTGTGCAATATTCATTTCCCCAATTCATAACACACACCTGACGTGCAGTTCTGAAAACCCCTATTAATATTTGCAGTGGATTCTACTGTTTCAACAAATCAAGAAGTATCGGAGTATTTAAGAAATCGTGCTTTTTCCTACTCGGAGGTTCTTAAAATCACTAATAACTTCCAAAACTTGATTGGAGAAGGAGGATTTGGAAAAGTTTATTTAGGCACTCTTAAGGATAACACTCAGGTTGCAGTGAAGTTACTTTCTCATTCATCAAGGCAAGGTCATAAAGAATTTCGATCAGAGGTGAAAATGAAATCTAACAATGAAATTGTATTTTTGTTTCCTCATGGATGCCTCATTCTATTTAAGTTGATTCTTATTATAAAAATGATAAAGTTGAGTATAAATTGCAGGTAGAACTTTCGATTGTTGTTCATCATAAACACTTGGTTTCTCTGATTGGATACTGTGAAGAGAGTGGTGCTAGGGCATTAATTTACGAGTACATGGCTAATGGTGACCTCCAGCAACATTTAACGGGTAAGGATTATTGCTCACAAAAAAAAAAAAAAACTAAGCTTTGGTTTCTTTTATTTGTTTTTTAGACTGTGGCAAAAAAAATTTTGTTGGTTTTCTAGACATGTTCCAAGTAGTAAACAACTAATATCAAAAGTACTATATTAATATAAGTGTTACTTAACTAATTTGGATAAATCAAATAATTTAAATAAATTAGTTAATTATAACAAATATGATATGACCTTCCAAAAATGCCACTACAAAAATTGACTTTTAATTAATATTTTTTACGACGACTCTAGAAGTCATTGTCGAGAGTTAACTTTCTATAGTAACTTCAAAAGTCACCGCAAAAAGTATGCTCTTTAGTGGCAACAATATAAGGTGCAAATGAAAGTGTGATTTTCAGCTGTGATTCTAGAATTTCACTCCTGAAAGCGAGACCTTCTGCAGTAATTCTAAAAAGTCATAGTTGAAAGTAAGACTTTCAATAAATCGGTGAGGTGGCGAACATGTAACAACCAGTGACCCATACTTTTCTTTGAGAATAATTGTTAAAAAAACGCTTTCAGCAACATTTCTGTCAACAATGAAAGACGCCTTCAACGGTAACCTGTTTTGCCGCTTTTGAAACTAGCTTTCAGCTGTAACAAATGGGCTGTCAAAACTTAAAAAAGCCATCACTAAAATGCACTTTTGGCAGCAATTATCTTTGTTGCCATTGAAAACTTTCAGCAACAATTGTTGGGGCGGCAACTTTTTGTTGATGGCAAGTTGCCGCTAAATGTTAATATTTTTTTTTATATAATATACCTATAATATTAGATTATATATCAATTTATAAGTTAAATAAATTAGTTTTAAAAAAATGATAAATATGAAGGATAAAATGATAAATCCAAGCCTCAACTTATAAATGGGACCTCACAAAAATTCTACAATAAAAAGAAGCTCCGTCCCATATGAACATATATCATATCTCCAAACCTGTTCCTTAGCACAAGAGATAATAAAAATGGACACACCATCTGCAAAGCCAACCACAAGACCCACAATTAAAAATTGCGAGTGTGACACTCACAAATATTCATTCCTCCATTTCAAGTGTGTTAGTTATTACGCAGGATTAGCACCTGCTAGCTAAGCACCTTCCACATCCCACGCGGGATTTATGGATTGTACCCTTCCGGTTAGTCCATAAGGATCTGTATAATGGTGCGCGGAAGGTTAACAAAACTACCGCTCAAAATTCAATGCCTTAACCTCTTGTAAGCATGCATGGAGTCTGTAACGTCCAAATGTCATCTCTTTTCAATACCATTGATCATATCTTGTATTAAAATGATAATGAGGACATATTTCACAAGATCATAAAATTAAGTATTACCTTCCGTTCTTAGCATAAGATTTAGTTTATAGCTCAAACCACAAACTAGATCTTATATTAAGTGTCGGAAATAGTAATTTCATTACATTTCACTACTTTAAAGATAGGCTTTAAGTGCAAATTTGGTCCAAAAATTTTTACTTACAAGCGTGAGCACCTGAAAGTCCTTTTAGGTGCAAATCTGCCTTGGAAATTTAAGATTATAGCTATACTGTACTTTACTATTAAAAACATTAATAGTTAATGTTAGTCGTTTGACAGCAAGAGGCAATATTGCTAAATTTTAAACTTTCTAGACAAATTTGCACCCGAAAAAACTTTTGATGGATATCCAGCACTTCTAAGTGAAAACTTTCAAAGTAAATTTACACCCTAAACATTAAATATAATGACAATCTTTCATAAAATAAATCCAACTTCCTCTCCAAAACCAAGGTATGCAAAATACTTCTAACAGCACAATAATCAATATTATAATTAGAAGTATATTATAACACATGTAAATTATTTAAAACAATATAATCCTCTGGTTTTATTTATAAGGCAGAGAGAGAATTTTTTTTTAATTTATAAGTTACTTCACTAAAGTTTTAGCGTAAAGGTACTATTTTGTCCTTTATTTATTCTAGTGTAAATAGTTATTTTTTAAAAAGGTGTGTGTATTAGATAGAGGTAAAATTAAAAAGTTATTATATTTTAATGGAGAGTTAATACAGTTTAAATTTTTTCTTGGTCTGTGTAAAACATGCTAGAAGTGTTTTATAAATAAGATCAAAAGAGTTTTTTGATAAGAGAAATTTACTTATAAATTAATTGGAGCACTATTCACTCACCTAATATGTTCCCAAATATTGTAAAGCACTCTTTAATTTACAAGATTTACTCTTTTGAAGCATTTCAATGTATAAGAAAAAGACGGTAACAAATTTTTTAAAATTTCTATAATTTTAAACTTCTGAAGAAAATTAAACCAAAAAAATTTTTTGAGTGCTAAACGCTGTTGCGCGGAAATTTTCAAGCCCAATTTGCCTCTAACTCTAAAATTTTATGAAGCCCATAATAGTTCACTTGATTTATGGTACTCCCCCTTATACTTGAATTTACTCCTAAGGGAAGGAAAGGCATAATTCTTTTTCATACAACAAAATATTAAAATTTTCCATTCTCACTCCAAAGTCATATACTCCATCCATACTCCAACTTTAGCCCCAGACGACGTTGTAACCATTGCCTACTTTATAACACACTCCTTCGTCTTTAATATGAGACCTAATTAATTAACTAATTTGAGTAAATTAAAGACGTTACTTAAATTAGTTAATATGATTTTTTTTTCTGAAACACCATAATCATCTTTCTTAATTCTCTTCTTTTTTCTTCTACTTGATCATTATTGAGAGAATATTAGTACAGTTAATTTGAAAAAAATTAATAAGCATGTGAAACAAGTCTTGTATATAGGATAAGTCCTACACTAAGGACC